AACCACTATAGCAATCCTCTCTTGTCAGTCTGTGACACTATGGCAATTGGCAGCTACTAACCCACATATATATTTGAGATAGAATATAAAGTAGGATCTTCCCCATTATATGTTAGTACAAAAATACTAATACTGAAAACAAAGTAGGAACCTCCCCAATATATGTTTTGTTAAAATCCTTATTCCTTATGCTCCTAAGCATATATACATTCAGTCAACATTGTGGGATACTGTTCCAAAAAATTACTGAATCATAACACAAATAAATCTGCCATATATGTCACTGCAAATGATTGACCAAATGGCTGAACTTACAAATAAAGGTGCAACCTCATATCTTCGCGCAATAGAGGCCAGAATGAACCAAGTCATGATAATAACCCAAACCTTTGGACTGATGGAGAAAATTACCATCAAGAGCATATCTAACAAACAAGTGAAAAGAGAATGGAACAGGTGAATAAGAATAAGTGGATAGTTTTATATTAACGATAAAAGAAATGGAACCACCTAGTCAGAGCTTCACCTGGAAATTTCAGTTTATCACGTAGCAGATAAAAAAGCTTCCTCTTCCACTTACTAGTTGCTGGGGATAACTGAAACCTCTATTTATAGAAATGGGAATAACAGAACTTGTAAATCATTGCAAAATGAAAAAGAAAAAAAAAGTGTGCACATGGGAGCTGGATTCAATTTCCAAAACAGACAACAACTGAATTTCCTATACATTTTGCAAAATATATTTTCCACTCACCAGTTCATCATCATCGTCATCCTCAAATTCATCACGAAAATGCCTAGGAGGTGGCTTTGGTTTGACAGCTACTATTAGTGAATCTACAAAAAATGTATGTCAACCTTGTTATAATAGAGAAAGAAGTTCCATTAACTGTGATCTAATAGAATAACAATGAAAATTTGAAAGTGGAAAAGCATCTAGGAATAAACAATCAAGAAACAACTTAGCAGTGAAGAAAAGAAATGAGCGCAGAATAGCCAAAAATGACTTGTGGGGAACACTTGTAAGTTGTAACCACAGAAACAGTTCTCTGTTGTTTGATCGAGATTTTGTGAACAATACCACTAAAGGCAGACTCAGAAACAAACAGACCCTTTGAACTGATCTATTTTCTACAACTTCTTCAGAAGTAGATATGACCAATTTGTTTCCTTTTAGGCTGGCAATTTCCATAGCATTATGTATGCTATGGAAATGTGAAAGTGGAACAGTATCCAGGAATAAACAATCAAGCAAATGACTCAGTTATGAAGCAAAGTAATGTATGCAGAATCAATATGCAACAAAACAGATAGTTCGTCAATAATCGTCAAATTTATACATGCGTGCATTTCCTACTCATTCCAACTGCCAGACGAAAAAGAGATCAAACAAACTGATACCTCTATATTTCACATACATAAAATCTGTTGCATTGTGCACCAAACATGAGCAACCAAGAAGAAAGCTAAGGAAATAGTACGACGACCAACTAAAAACTACAGCATTCAAACAGTGAATAGGAGATTCAAACAGATAAGTAGCATGAGGCACCCCAAAATCCCCACACAAATAATGCAAGCAGAGTATTTTCTATTTCCACCATGCAAGCAGAATCAATATGCAACAAAACAGACAGTCTGTTAGAATAATCTCCAAACTTATACATGTGTGCATTCATTCCAACCGCTTAAAGAAAAACAGATCAAACATCACAATACCTCTATATCCACATACTTAAAATCCTCCCATGTATAGTTGTTACAATATATTTTGAGAATTTATTATATCAACTTTGGAAATCAATAAGTTTAAAAAATTGCACCTCCGTTGTTGAGTTGGACTACTTCGTCATCTCCATTTTCACTATCATGCAATACACGTCCTTGCAGAACAAGTCTTAAATTTTCAATAGGCATATGTCGATTCCCAGCAATCATATTTCTCAATTCATGTACCTAGATGCCACAGAAAACGTCAAAACATATTCAGAACAACTCCAGAAATTTTACTTGTAAGGCATCTAAAGTTACAGCTGACAAGACAAGTTTAAACATCTTTTTATGCACTTCTACAAACTTTTTCTTGTGATTAAGAAAAAAACAAGATACTAAGGAGATATATCTATGATTTCTTGCAGAAAATTGAACGAAGAGCCACTTTAGGTATTAACAACTTCTCATTTCTGGATTCAAAATTCCTTTTTTGTAACAGTAGTCTCTGGGCTTAAATGACGAAATGTGGATTCGTATACCCGACCCAACTTATTTGGGATTGAGGCGTAGTTGTTGTTGTAGTAATCTCTGGGCCATCACAGGGCTCACAAACTTGGATTTTTTGAAGTAACCGTGTATACAAGAGGCCTGGAAAAGAAGGCAGGCATGCACCGGGGTAGCATAACACAGGGGGAAAGACACAAATGGAAGACAGGGACACTTGTGAAATAACTATCCGGGGGGAAACCAGCACAAGCACACCTCAACTATTCCACCATGTACTTGCTAGTCTACTACCTCTACTAACACAAGTATCAGATTACTCTGCCCACCAAAACTTAGGTAGGTCGATGGGAAGAGATCATCTATTCTTTTTATCTCTGATGCGATCTGAACCCTGGACTCTAAAGCTTGCATGACTTCGTTGATCATATGCCACATCCTTGGGTGTATGACTCAAAATTATTCTCTATGTAGGATCTCCATAGACAGTTCCAATCATTTGCTACTTGTCACATGCCAAATTAGAACTATCCTATCAAAATACTATAGGGATCTCTTGACTTAAAAGCAGGCCAAACTTACAACTCGGCCTAGATTTACTCTAATTTTTTGCTTGACCGCGAGGTGACAATCAAGTGACTTGTTGCAATCCAGTCTATCTGTCTAACACCCCACATAAATTCTCAGTTAATTTCAAACTTATCTCAGTATCAGACTCTGATCACCTTCATCAAAAAGAAATTATCACTCTGATCACACATATCCATGTACTACACCAAGTTCTCTCTGAGGCATTCTCATTAACCTAATAATCTTTTCCTGCTTCAGAACACATTACTTTCTTACTTGTCCTGCCTGTCCATTTCCATTGATCTTTGCCTCTTTAATTAGTTCAATCCAAACTAATTAGGTATATTACTATAATATGAACCATAGATGCCAGAGCTAATATGAACTTTCATCGAATCATCTCCCCCTTATGTTCATTAGTTTTGCCATGAAATTCAGGTCACCGTCTAACAAAAGTTATCCTTCCAAGTTCCAACTATCAAAGTATTTACTTAAGCAAAACGACAGAAAAAATTTCAGCATTACACTCCATCCCAAACTTCATAATTTGCACTATGACGCCATCTTTCCAACAATGTTTACTGATTGCAAAATGGATTTTTATTTTATAAAAAAACAACATTTTTTCCTCAATGTTCCTCGAAATAGAAACATCAAGCAATCAATTGCCAACTGCACCTCAATTTCACATCAACTTAGGGCCTAATGTGTGAATCCTCTATATCCATTACACTCAATTCAAGTCTAGTTCATTCCAATATTACATACTTCAATTCCAACTAGTAGAAATCTTCTACACTCATCCGTTATATATCAAACTTGCATTGTAACCTTAGCTAAGTATGCGTTGATGGAAGAAGGGACATTAAGGCGATATCAAACCAAAACCTAGTTTCTCCCATTTGCATGAATTTCGAGCTATTACGATCGAAGGAGATAGAGAAAAGGAAGTACCTTGATGGAAGAAGGAACATTAAGGCGACAAGGAGGAGAAGGACCGATGATTTTCAGAAAGATTTCTACCATCTTCTTCTCTTCAATTTCATCCATGCCGCTGTAATTCAACTTAATTCAATTGCAAAATTCAGAGGTTTTTACCCGACGGCGTTATGCTATTGATACTATCACCGGCGCCGGTAACTTGATCTCCGGTCAAAAACTCCGAACTGTTCACCGAACGACTTTTGTAAACGGATTTCACTTTTCGATTAATCAATTCGAAGCTGAAAAAGGAAAATTGGGGAAAATGTATTTATCTACGTGGATTAAGGATTAATTTTACAAATTTTCATTTTTTTTTTAATTTCAAAACTATATCTAAAATAAATATAAATATAAATTACACTTTATTACTAATTGTTTATAGACATATAATACATAAACATACATTTAAGCCTTATGACTAAAAACACTAACTCGTCCATAAAGGTATATCGATAATCATTCGATAAGTTTGAGTGTTTATGTCTCAGAATTAAACTTTTAAATTTGTTATAGAATTTTATTTTCGTAAGAGATAAATTAACAAATGATAATTTAATCTCACTTGCTCTTTTAATATCCAAAATTGTTCTCAATAGAAGATAGAAGGTACTCAATGAAATATTTAAATTGTGTTTAAAACGAACCTAACACCATTTTATCAAAAAAACTTGAGTTTTTCAAACATTTAAATTACCAAGTTACATAAGGAAAGGTCGATCACCAAAGGATGTGATGGGATATATGAAAATTTTTTACTCCTTAAGTTTAGAATTAGATATTTTAAATTCAAACTTCTAAAAATTGAATGTGTTTTATGTTTAATTTTTTTCACGCAATATAAATTTAAATTAATCGAATCAGCGATGAAGTATATATACTTCCATTATCTATCCCAATCCATACATGGTCCCATTTTGCCCTTGTATTAGCCTAACAAGGAGGATAACTCCACTTGTGGCTTGCCACTCATTTCAAAATACACAAGATTTAAGGCTACCCTTTACATTCATTAGGTCACTTCTCTATCTACATATTTTTTTTTCCTCATCCACCATTCAGTTTATACGATAGATTTTGATTAAAAATTTCACGTTATAATAAAAACGTCTTTTAATAAAAACGATTTCATATTCAAAACTCGAACTCGATATCTCTGGTGAAGAATAAAAAATGTATTTACTGCTCCACCACAATCCTCGTTGGTTTTATATGTATGATTGCTAACATGTTATGTATATCATTTGGACTCTCAAACTTTAGGGATGAGGCTTTCATTTTCCACCATTCAATGTTAGATAATATATAAAGTATATACTATATAGTAATATCAAAATCTTTCCCTTTGTTGACACATTGATAAAAAAAAAATGGCTCTGAGAATGTGGGCTTCTTCAACAGCCAATGCACTTAGAGTCTCTTCTACTGTTTCAAGAACCAATTTTTCACTCTCTAGATGTTTTTCTACTGGTAAATTTTTTCAACTTATTGCTATGTTTATAGGAATGTTTACACAAATAACTCGTTGCAGAGATGGAGTAAGAATTTTTAGTTTATGAATTTTGAAGTACTATTCATTTTTACTTACTATGTTCTAAATATAGATTATTTCTAGTTTGTTACATGGTGTTATTTTTGGCTCTGTTGAACTAGAATTTTGCATTGTGGTGACGTTTACTAACCGATATACATATATTATACACTGTTATACACATATTATACATCCGTTGATTATTTTTTTATATTGGATGTATTGCAATTTGTAGTTCTTGAAGGGCTGAAGTATGCATCTTCACATGAATGGGTAAAGCATGAGGGGTCAGTGGCAACAATTGGAATAACTGACCATGCTCAGGTTTTTCTTTGACTCGTAATACTTTTCGTATAGTTTTTTTTTTTAATAATCGTGAAATCCGCGAGGGTTTGAATGAGATAATCAGAGGCAGGGTCAAGATTTGAACTTTATCAGATGTGTGATAATTTGATTCTGAATTTAATCTTTATACAAATATAGGGTTTGAACTAAAGTTAATGAGTTTGACCGAAGCTTTAAGTGACCTTCTAGCTCTTATCTCAGGTCAAGTAACCTACAATTTGAAACTCGGTGAATAATGGGCGCCCCTCTACCCTTCTGTGCGGTAGACTTACATATAGTTCTTTATTGAATGTTGGTTGTATGTTAATCAATTGGTGACATTTTCACAGATTAAAACATAACTATTAGGTAACGGGGCTTAAAAAGTGCGGGATAAGTAATGTAGAAAATAAGACAGATTATCTGCTATAACATGTTATAGTACATTGATAGAGTAAAAATTCTTTACAATATCCGTCGGTGCATATGAAATTTGATGGATGTTTTCAGGATCATTTGGGAGAAGTGGTGTTTGTTGATTTGCCAGATAGTGGTACTTCTGTTTCACATGGAAGTAGCTTTGGAGCTGTTGAAAGTGTGAAAGCCACCAGTGACATTAACTCTCCGATCTCAGGCGAGATCGTTGAGGTCAACACAAAGCTCAGTGAAACACCTGGTTTGGTAAAATGTCTACTAACTCATATGTATATATTCCAACAACTTCATTTTCTATGTTGTTCGAACTCTTCAAAATGTTAACTTGAGTGCACGTTAGATCCTCTAAAAGTAGTGTATATTTGGAAAGTCCGAGCAACATAGGTTTAAAACTTGAAATGTCAGTTTCCTGATTATGATTTTTCACCTTCAATGTTACTAATTGATATTCCAAGTATACTTTTTGTGTCTGTCCTTCGTTTTTTTCATCTAGTTGAAATCTACGTTGCTCAGACTCTTCAAAAACGCCTCCTATACGTGTTGGATCCTCCAAAAGTAATGCAGTCTGGAGGATCCGACAAGGGTGAGGCAACGTTTTTCGGAAGTGTGAGCAACATAGGTTGAAAACTTTGAAAAGTCAGTTTCCTTGTGATTTTTCACCTTCTGTAATCAAGGTCAATATTTTACTATCTGATATATATTTCAAGTACTTCTTGTGTCTTTCCTTCATTTTTCATCTAGGTGAAATCTGTGCTGCTCGGACTCTTCAAAAATGTTACTAGATGTGTGTCGGATCCTCCAAAAGTAGTGTATATTTGGAGGATACGACAAGGATGAGACAGCATTTTTTGGAAAGTCCGAGCAACATCTATAGGCTGAAAACTTAGAAATGACATATTCCTGATGATTTTTCAATGTTTCTTTTTTTCACCTTATGCAATGAAGATCAACTCGAGCCCTTATGAAGACGGATGGATGATCAAAGTGAAGCCGAGCAATCCATCAGAGCTCGAATCTCTGATGGGGGCAAAAGAGTACACGAAATTATGCGATGAAGAGGAAATTCATTGAAACTTGAAGGTGATTTTGAATTCACTTTTTAGACTAACATTTGCTGAGATATTGTAATGAAACTTTCTTGTCAGTTGTTAAAATTTCACAAAAATAAATAATAAGATCTTTTTTTTTCATTGCCTCAGTAGTAGAATTGTGATTCGAGTATTTCGATTTCATGATATTTTAATCTTCCAATTCTTTCTAGTACTTTTCGCCACGTTAAAGTTGATCTACAGATAGAATTTTGACTGTTCTGTTCGTAGTTTCCAAAAATGTTGCTGCACCCGTGCCAGATCCTCTAAAAATACACTACTTTTGAAGGATCTGACATGCACTAGTCGACATTTTTGAAGAGTCTGTGAAACATATAGTCAATGTTAAAGGATAATACTAACTTTAATATTGCTCAGAGTTTCCAAAAGTATTGCTGCGGCCATGTCGGGTATTTCAAAAGTACAATACTTTTGGAGGATCTGACATGCACCTGTCGACATTTTTGAAGAATATGAGAAACATAACTCTGGCCTGAAAGTGTGACTATACACCAAAAGATTTGACCGCGTAATATGAAATTCTTAACTTGAATAACAGGAATGAGTGAAGAGGTTTAAAATCTGCTCGAAAATACAACGAAAACATGACAAGTCTCAACATGATGATGAGATCCTTTTGAGTCTTGCAAGACAATTATCAGTAGGACTAGGAATTGGTAGATATGTCACACTTGTTTTCGGATTAAGACGCTCGAGCCTGCACCAGAACAAGTTCAAAGGCAAGTTATGGACTAAAAACAACAAAAATAACACTATGTGAAGTAGCAGAACTCAATTGTGTGTTAATGTTAGTACCTATAGTTGAGAAGAAAGTAATGAAGAAACACTGAAACTTCAAGCCTAGCCAACTCTGCTCCGGGGCACAATCGAGGTCCTGCTCCAAAGGGAAGAAACGCGCTATATGTCTTCACCTCATCATCCTGCTAAGAATCAAATGTGTTACTTCCTTAGCCTTTAACCATGATCACTTAATCTTCCGTGGCGGATGTAGCTTATTAGCCACGGGGTTCAACTTGAACCTAGTATTTTCGACACAAAACATTAATGTTAAGAAACTTAAAAGTTGAACCAATCAAGTTTAAATCTTGAATCTGTCTCTGCTAATCCTGGTCATCATCCTTCTTAGGGTGTTATCAATGCAAGTCGACTCCAACTTGCTTGGGACTAAGGCGTATTATCGTTGTTTTGTAAAGAAAATTAGTTCAAGGAGCTATTGTTTAGAATACTCACATCCCATCTTGAAGGATTAAATTCTTTAGGGTTCACATGATTGTTAGGATCCAAATTAACTTGCCTTATCCAAGTCAATACCTTCCATCCTTTTGGTATTGTATACCCTATATAGCACAAAACAAATTCCATTTAGTACATTAGACATTAGATTTTGTCAAAAAAAAAAAAACTTAGGCTAAATGAAGGTGAAGACGAGAAAAAAAGGCGAAGGCTTACCATTCATGTTGATTGTCCTTTTCGCGTTTCTATAAATGGCTAAGGTGACATTAGAGCAACGTAGAGTTTCATCGATTACCTTGCATTTGAACACAATTCCATATGTTAAACTTATCGAACTTTCAAAAGGTCTACATTCTCGTATACCATATGTACCTTGCTTAGATACTTCATCTGTATCATCTCATCGTAGCTAAGCTTTTTATCCGAATCAGGATGCCTTCTCTGAACAATTTCCTCTTGTTCCTCCTGAAAACAGAGAATTACTCAAACGTACTCTATAACAATATTTCATTATAACGACAACATTTCACTATAGCATCAAAGGATATCTGGACAAAACGACGTTGTTATAGAGAGGTTTGAACTCGAGTAACAAAAACACGTGTTAGGATTACAAATGACTTGTTATGTTACCTTTGCTTTTTGTAAGAACTCAGGATGTTGTTCTAAGTACATAATTGACCATGCTGCAGTATGAGCAGTAGTTTCATGACCTGCAAACACATAAACGATTAACAAGTCGATGATCTCCTCGTCGTTTAATCTCCTTCCTTCGTCGTCTTCAATGGCCATAATCAAATCTATCATATTGCCCTTTGATCTTGATTCATCCTTCATATTCATCACCTTCCTTTCATCTATTACTGATTGAAATATCTTCACCAGGTTTTCCCTAGCCTACGTTAACCATCATAAATTAAAGCTTATTACACTCCAGAATTTTCGACGCGAAACATAAATTTATATGTGAAAAATCATTTAAGTTTCACCAAACACTAAATTTGAATGGATAATTTTAAAAGCACAATGAGTTCAATACTACTACCTCCGTCTCAAATTATCATTCATGTTTCTCTTTTACACGTCCTTTAAGAAAACATTAAGAGGTTTTTGACTATTTTACCCCTCATTTATGTCTTGAGATATAATCTCTCTTCATTATAAACAATAACTACCAAGGATAAAATGAAAAATAAAATCATTTTGTCTAGGACTTCATGAACTTTTAAAATGTCAAATAACTTAAGATAGTTGTTTTAAGAGATCACGACAGATCTATAACAGAGATCTAACCAGACAAATTTAAATCTTGAATTCGTCTCTAAACGAGTGGATAAAAAAAAAGGGACATAGCTAGAACTAACCTTGAATGCACTATGATAAGCAAATCCAGGGAGATTGATAGGCAAAGCCAAAAAACCTTTCAAATAAATAGTATAAACCTTTTCAACCATATCTAACCATTGAGGATCAATCTCACTACCAATCATGATTCTTATTATAACTTCAAATGTGGATTTCTTCATTTCACTAAGAAACTCAATTGGTTCATCTTCAATTGCATTCCATTTTTCAAATGAACTCTTCACAACTTCTTCAATTAGACTAAGGTACAATGACAATGTATGTTTGCCTTTTATAGGAGATGTTGTTATTCGACGAAGACGCTTGTGTTCTTGGCTTGTAATTCCATGGAGAGCTTTTCTTCCAATTAGATTTAACACTGATTGAGGCCATCCCAATTCAAAGTTTTCATCATCCATCAAGATTTTCTTGCATACTTGTGGTTTTGTAACAATGATGCTTGGTGTTCCAAACATAAATGCCTTGTACATTCCACCTTGTCCATACCTTAAATGTTTCATATTTTTAAAACCAAATATCAAGAAGGTTAGCACTATAGAAAATTAGAATCAAGAGTTTCGTTAAAGATGATCAAAGATTTAATGGTCGATTATCATTTTTTTTTGTGAATGCATAGATGATAGATGGTGATATATAGTTCAGATAGAAAAACACGCAAGATAGAGTAATTTCTAACAATGAAACAAACTCGAATTCTCAAAGCAAACACCTAAACATTAGAATAATTATATTGATAGCCAAATTATAATAACATCTAAAAATCTTGAATTGCAAGGACAAGTGATTAAGGTCTAAGGATAGAGATAAGACCGGAGATGAAAAATTTAGACTCTAAAAAAAAGAAAATGAAAGAAACAAACAATTTCTTCACTTTTTAACTAGTTGTCAAATGGACTTGGATCGCAAATAAAACTTTTCAATATTTTACTCGGCTCAACAATCTCAACTGGAATCAGTCTTATTTACCTTTTCTAGCCCATAAGCCCTTGTAGGGTTCATAAACAAGGGTACAAATGACTCAAAAAGTATATATAACAAAAGGGTACAACGACAACAACAACATATACCGATATGATCCTAATTCTTGCAAGTGGGGCGAAAGGTCAGATGTATACATACCTTAACCCTATCTTTATGTAATAGAAAAATTATTTCTGGTAGACCGATAACTCAAGATAAAGGGTAAAAAGGGGTAAATTTTTTTACCCTTTTTTAGTAAAAGGAAAGATGATTTAAGGTAGTGAAAATACCTAGAAGTAAAGTAAGAGATAAATGATTCAGGATCACCATATTTGAATGTTGTAAAAAAAGTGAACATATTCCCAATGAATGGCAAGCTCATATCACCTGGAGGTATGTTATACACTTTTGAATTAAATTTGCTTGTATAAAACAAGTCATTTGCTCTCTTTAACGAAAAATAAATAGCAAAAATCCCAATTGCAAACGATGTGAAAAAGATTAATCCAAAATCACACACCATTTTTCACTATTTAGGCAAAAACCAAGAAAGGTTTTATAATTTGCATACCAAAGAAAAATATTTTGATTCAATTGGTTTTATCAAGAATCGTCACATACAAAGCAAATAAAGATAAATATATCACAGATTCAAATCGTAAAAGTAATTACTAATATTTATACTATGCAGAATAGTCTGGTGAACCCTCGTACTTGTATCAGATTGTATTCTACCCCTTTTTAGCCTACGTGACACTAGTTTGAAAAAAAAGTCAACCATCATTGGGCCTACAAGATAGTGTTACGTAGGCTAAAAAGGGGTAAAAAATTATTAATAAAATAAGTTCAGGAGGTAATAAGACCTTAGTATAGTATAAGTTTGTCTTTGAGATTTCGGGCATAAGTTGGGAGGGTACTTGGGCATTATCCCAAAAAAAATCTCAAAAAATGATAACTAACGAAGATTCTTTTTATTATTATAATAAAATAAAAGGACGGCAGCTAATTACGTAATTTAATGTTGATAAGGGAACAGGCATTGAATTTTTCATTTGGTATCATTTGCCGTTTCATAAAAAAAAATTAATTAATAAATATATATAGAGAAAAAAAAATTATAAAGAGTATTTTCTTAAACAAGCATTCCGATTAATTATTGATCAAATCAAAATTGAGTACATCATGAATCAAAGATCTGTCATAAAATTCGAAGCTCGACCTAATTAGTGACATACTAACTCACTCAGATATTTTAACGAAATATTTTAACGAAAGACAAAGAAATAGAAAAAAAGTCACACATAAATACTTTACAATTATGATTAATAACATTAAAGGTTTTTTTTTAAGTATAGTGTCATTGATGTTTATATATATATATAAACAAATATTAAATTTAAAATCTAAATATTGATATTTGAACTCGTTATTTAAAAATTTAAAGCAGGTGAAATTAAAATTCTTGATTTTGCTTATAGGAATAAGAACAATATTTTGTGATCTAATAAGTAGAGTCTGACGAGGACAAAATAAACACAAATTTTATTCATATCTCATGTGAATAGAAGATAGATTCTTTTTTATGTAACTTCACGACCTTAAAATTCGAGGTCCGTGTCTCGAAAATTGAAGAAAGTACACATGACAAAGATTTCGCTATACAAAATATCTCACATTCCCGCAAGATTCAGGAAAGGGCCACATCCTCTCTTAGAATGTAACATCGGTACCCTCTCATAACACAAATATCAAATGACTAATTTCACGACTGAAGTACTCGAAATCGACATCAATTGCGTCCTGAAATCCTCTGTTCTGTCCCCTAAAGTCGTTATAGAACCATTTAAGATGCAAGTATTCTCCACGATTATTATATCAGGTAGCAAATTCGATATAGCAATGAGCGATTCGCGTGTTACATCGAAAGGAGCTTCATCTATATTAGCCATAAAATGCAGATTCTTCCTCTTGAGTTTGAGTTTTCTAAATGCAATATTACAACACAAAACTATTAGCTTAAAAAAATAGGTTTTTTTTTTCAAGTTTAAAGAGGCATGATAAATGATAACAATCACAAGCTACGTTGTTTGGAATTTTTAAAAATATTATCGTGTCTGTCTGTATCGGATTCTACGAAAGTACATTACTTTTGGAGGATCGGACATTTAAAAGTCCGAGCAATATAAATCAAAAGTACTATTGCAACAGCTAATACTTAACTGGTGCGACGAGCTTGATCCATAATCGAACTTGAGACCTCCAACATGAAAGTCTTAAGCTCAAACTACTGAATCACCCCAAAGAATATCGTGATTTTCTTATACATGCTTCCTAAAAAATATTAATTTAGGGGGGAGTTTTCAATTACTTTGATATTTGAACAATCATAACATTACTCATAATTTCCAAGGAAAGAAAAGAAAATTAAATCCTGGAAGTAAAAAATAAATAATATTAATAGTCAAAAAATATTTAAATTATCACAAAGTTTCAAAACGCTACTATTTATTATTCTATTTAACAATCTAAACTATTGATCACTTCTTATGTGTTTATTGTGATTATTATTATTATATAATACAAAGGAATTAATAGTTTAGATAGATAAAGTAAATCATGAATAATTAATATATAAAATTTAAGAAAAATAATAGTTTAAGTGTTTTTCTTAATCAATAACTCGGAAAAAAGTAAAAGATGAAAAAGATCTTTCTCTTTTCTAGTCTATAATTTTTTTAAAAAAAATCTGTATTTAATATTATTTTGCATTTCTGCAAAAGACTATATTTACATCTTGCATAAATTCATAATCACCTAAAGACAAATTTACCAACTACTCCAAGCCACCTAATAAATTTACAAATTATAATAAATTACAATTTACAAAACCAAATAAACAAATCTTTTATATTAAAAAAAATTCAATGCAAAAACACAAAAAATATTGAAAGAGAAGAGAGAAAAAGAGGGTGGGTACCTTTAAAAGTAAAAGCGCTTTTTTTTTTATGAGTATATTAATATGAATTTTGTATTATGTATTAAATAAGAGATGCTTTTCTATTTTAATTCAATTTCCTCTAAACTAGATTTATGGATAGCCAATCAAATAAAACCCTATTTTTGGTAAACTTATATACTTTCTTACGAGACATGGAATCTAAACTGATGATATGTAAATAAAAACGGAAGGAGTAGAATATATATACATCCAAAAAAATCTCCCTCCGTTCATATTTATTTATTTTTGTTTGAACTAAAACATCTCTTGAGAAATAATAAATGAAATTTTTATTTAATTATATATCAAAATCATCTAAATATTAAAAAAAAGAACTTGCTTAATAATAAAGTGATGAATTATCTCTTATTTTTTAAAAATGAACATCTATATTACTGCATGCATAATTCACTTTTAATACATAGCAAATTTATCACAGTATTGCTATATATTGACATAGATGGCTATTGGTTATAAATAATTTGTAAAAAAAAATATACATAAATTTCATAGTGTTAAGGACTAATTACATTTTATCCACTCTTTTCCAAACTACAAAACCCTCCCCTTAAAATTAAAGAATTTCAGATACATCAGCAGACAGTCGTGATACATTGTTATTTAAGAAACCCGTGAATATATAACTACGAATAATGTAACTGAGAGGCTATGAATGTATCCGAGAGGATATTTTTATAATTTTTTTAAATGGTAAAAAAATTAGAAATTAGAGAAAATGTGTATTGATATAATTTTTCCTAATTATTTATTAAAAATTACCCACTCTGCTAATCTTCCTTGTATTTCCACACGTGGGCTTTTCTTAAGCCCATTGGATTTCAACAAAGCTATAATTTGGCTTTTTCTGCCCACATGTGGGCTTTTATCAACAAAATAATAATATGGGCTTTTCTTGAGATTGAGGACCAAAAAAACTCAATACTTGATCAAATTATATCGTTTACGATAAAAATTAAGGATCGTATATAAATATCAATATTTTCAAAAATAAATAAATAAAGAAAAACATCATTTCTTTGGTTATAAATTCCTTATTAATTAGTTGATTTTCCATGTCTGCAAGCCATTGTTAAAGTCTAGATTTTTAAGTAATTCATTTGGGGTTAACTTTTGAGATTAATCAAATTCTTTAAAAACTTGAAAAATCATAAATTCGTTTTTCTATTCTTCTCAATTTGAATAGTTAAATATCAAGTGAGTCACATGAGGCACCAATATGTAACTTAAGTCACATATTTCTTGATCTAAGCCCTAAGAACAAATTATGATATTGCAATTATACAAATAAAATTTGTTACATAAATATCTCTTGTGATATATAAGTGTCGTGTAACCCCCCCCCCCCCCCCTCAACCTTTCCTCATGTTATTTCACTTTATCTATTGGCAATTAAATTTTATTTATTAGATTCGACAAGAATAATAATCATTTTATTAAATATATTCTTGAGCAGTTTTTATTTTATAAATTTATAAAAAATTGTGAAAAAGATGTTTAATTAAAAGTAACAGGCCAAAATCCTGTACCTCCAAATGTGAGTTCCTTCTAATTCTAAACTTTTTATTATTATTTTCGTCGAATCTAATAGATAAAATTCAATAAATATTTGATGGAGATCAAACATATTTACTTTTACAAAATTTAAAAGACCAAAACTACTTGAGAGTTTATTCAAGGAACTATTTTTAAACTTTTGATCAACACATGAGGGAATATTTTTGTCATTTTCTCTTTATTGTTATCATTATTCCTCCCTTGCACTTTTACTTTGTTTATCTTGAAAACTATGCATTTTTTCTTACAAAATAATAATTAATATGAGTATTTTGTTCAAACACATATTAATTGATGATTAGTCTTATGCCTTAGAAAAATAAGTAATTAATACGAAAAGTAAAATATATAAAAAAGAAATTTCTTCATATACTAAAAGTGACGACACTTTTATAATAATAAATAAGTAAAAGCGAACAAATCAAATATTACTATTTTTTGCTAGACACAATTGAAGTTGTCTCTTGAAACACACGAAGCACTGCCTCAAATTGAAACCAAACTTTTTTTTTTTAATTCATGACAGAATCAAGAAAATTTTAATTAGACTTGAGAAGCAATAACAATAGCTATTACAAAAATTGTTAGGCCAATTGTGTGGAACAACTTTCATAAAAATAGAAAAAAAGTATTGAGACAAAAAAAAGTTGGATTACTAGATCTTTAGTTATATATGATTGGAAAATGATATTTGTATTGTATTATATAAGTGAGTAATATACATGTATATCCATTAAGTACTATAATAATTAATGGCTTTGTGGTTTATCTCCAATATTTTCTTATATATTATAACACTTAAAAAAGGATGATGTAACAAATAAAGAAAAGTCTCACTTAATGGAATGTGGAAAAAGAAAATCATTTCTGAAAATTGTAACAGTATTTTTCTATAACAATCGTCTTATATAATGACATTTCATTATAACAATCAATTTTTCTTTAAAATTAAGTTTTCATTTTATTTTACATTATAATGTAACATATTTGCTAAAGTAAACATAAAGATATCAGAACAAACAACATTGATCTCTCAACAAAAAATAATATATCCAATTTATAATAATAATTGTCTCACTTTCTAATAAGGAGTCGTTGATTGTTATATGTCTTACTTCGAATCTGTTTTTTTGAGTTAAGAGTCTATCATAAACAATATAAGTAAATGTGTATTATTATTATTTTGTTGTGTTGTCAGATATATAAATTAACTTACATTCTATCCTACGTTATTTCATTTGATGATATTACAATATAAGTAATGTTTGTTATTATTATTTTGTTGTGTTTTCAAATATATAAATATTACTCACTAACAATCTTTATCTATTTAAAAACTTGTTTATTCAAATATAAGGATCATGTGGATAGAGAGATAGAAACATAGTTTCTAATTCTTTTTATTAATTAAATGTAGATTGATAACTCATGATCTTTTGTTTAACTTCTAATCAATAATAGCATGCTAAGGGTTAAGATAGATTTCTTAAATAATTTTAAGTATTATAATTCATTCATGAGATTTTAAGATAAGCTTGGATTGATATATTATAATCCAACAAAAGAGGGAGAAGGAAAAACGAAAAATCTCAGTAGCTATTATGGCAAAATCTTTCCATTAATAAATCTTTTTTTGTATTAATAAATTGTAAAAAGGGTAAAGTTATGTACCAAATTAGAAATGCAATTAATAATATTTTTGTTAAAAAAATGTACTAAAGTTGAAATTTTGAAAATATTTATCAAGGTGATGAACATGTTAACTCTTTATTTATATATAAATATAATATAATGTTAAACTAGTAGCCAGCTCATAATCCATTATATATAGAGAGAGATGCAATTTGACCTAATTTTTGTTTCTCATCAAAATAATTCAAAATTAATGGAGATCCTAGCAATAATATTTTAACACTTGCATATTAATCACACGCAATAAAATTGTATTTCAATATTAAAATATATTTCAAATCATTTTACGATAATATATTCAATATAATTATGTAAGTATAATATGAAGAGATGATATATATGTAAACTTTATTTTGATTATATAAAAATAAAAAAGATAATTTTCAAAAGATAATCTTCGATATTAGTTGAAGGAATATGCTGTTGTCTTTTTATAAGATATTTGATTATTCTCACTTTACAAGTAAATTATGATAATTGAATTATATATAAGATATTCCTTTTAATATTTTATGTATTTGAGTCAGATTTATTTTGCTTTTTGATTTGTGTTAGTACATATTTTCTAGATACCCCACTTTAAGCTATCGTTAACATGTAATTCTTTATCGAAAAGAAAAATTTAGATATTGAAATTTATAAATTTTTATCGTTATTTTAAATTAATATAAAATATTATTTGAGTTCACAATTAATTAAAAAAATTATGAGATTGTGAAAAGTAATTAATACAATAATCCATATTTAACTGAGAAGAATAAACTTGTAAAAAAAAAAAAACTCTTTAGTGACATGACCTAATGTTGCTACCTCGTAAGCAAATTAATTGTGCTCCATAGCAAACGTTGGCAAAAATTTGCCAGGCGTCTCTCTCCCAGAAGTCTCGCTCGCCACTCTCCCATTCTCGCCTCTCTCGCTTTACACACAGAAGTGTATAATTTCTGTTTCTGTTTGTATAAAGCGGAAGAAAATTGTATATACACATGCAAAAATGTATATCTTCGTGTTATACACTTAATTATATAATTTACAAACATTTTACTTCAAATATTGCAGAGAAAAAAGCCAAAGAATTATGCAATTGTGAATTATACAATTGCAGTGAAATACAATTTTTTCTAGCTTTATACAACAAAAGTGTATATATTGTGTTTCTGTTTTTGTATAAAGCGAGAAAAACATATATCTTCTTGCTATACACTTATAATTCAATTCAACTGTATGCAAAACTAATTATACAATTACAGCGAAATAGGCCAGCGAATTATACAATTTAGGCCTGCGAATTATACACTTGTATATGTATACCGAATTATACAGTTTTTATGTTTGCTATGGAGTGCAATTATGCAAAGTTTGTTATAGCATACAAATATGAATTTTTTGTTTGCTATATGTGAAAGTTGCCTTTTTTTTAACCACATAGAATTAAAGTAAGAAACATATCAATTTATTTATATTTTGTTTAAGCATTTGACATATAGATCCAACAAATTCGACTATTCATATAGATCCCGTTAAGGAGAAACACCAACAAATTCGACTATTCATATAGAACCCATTAAGGAGAAACACTCCATATAAGAACTCTACGGAAATCAATGGATAACCACTTTTTATGAATAATTACTTTTGTATCTTGTTTTTGAAAAAAAAAGACATAATAAATAAATATGCCCTTTAATTTGGCTTCGAATCACATATATGTTCTTCAACTTTGGGTTTGCACAAGTAGACACTTAAACTTGTAT